GAGGGAATGGCAGTGGGAGACCTGCCCGCGGGTGTGAGGCCAACGACAACAGGGAGGTGGGAGAGGGCAAAGGCTTGGCTGAGATCGCCAGTCCTCGACCCTGACATCTCCCGGTGCCCACCCAGCTCTGCCAGAGCTCCTCACTCCTGGCACAGCTCCCACCCAGGGGTCCTGTGGCCCCCCCAGAGCGACACTGCTAAGGACAAACCCAGGCCTGCAGGTCTGCGGTGTTCCTGCCTCCAGCAGTGGGGCTGAGGCTGGATGAGCTCATTTCACCTCTGGCTGGGGCAGAGCACGAGCGTGAGGCTTCCCCTTTAACAGTCAGCATGAGGAACACACAGAGCGTGATCCAAGAGCAACGCAGGACAGATCAGGACCCTCCCTGCTCCTGGCAAATGCCCTGACAGAGCCTCCTGAGCCTCCCCAGGGCAAACTGGGACCTTCTGTGGGCCACCAGGCCCCAGCACTCCGGGGGTGCAGGGCTGCAGTGCTCTGGTCCCACTCCCCGTTGAAGCCGCTGGAGCCCTGGGCTGGGCGGTGGGAGCCTCCGCCAGGGAGACACCCGATGATCTCAGCACGGCCCTGGGGCAGGGACAGCCGCCCCTCCTGGAGCATCTGGAGGGGACGGCAGGGGAGAGGATGATGGCTGTGAGCCAAGGCCTGGGACTCCCTGCCAGGCCCTGCCCTGGGGTGCCAAGGAAGGGGCTGGGCCCATGCAGGGTCAGGACCCTGGTTCCCAGTGCCCTTCTTCTCCTGCTACTCCCTCCCCTTGCTCCTGGGGCAGATGCAGGCATGAGAATTCGCAGGCCCAGCCTCCTCCTGTGCCAGGGGACCCATTCCATCCCCAGGGACATCCAGACCCCTGCACTGCACTGTCCCCCTCGCCCTGGTCCCACCAATCCCACTCATTAGTCCCCAAGGAGGGGGGCTGTTGCCAGCTCCTTGCAGGCATAGGTGTAGGCAGGGGCTGGGCAGCTACCCACTGAGGTCTGAGCCCCTTTCCGGGTGGCTGCAAGGGGCACGAGGCAGCTGAGCCCACGGCCACAGCCATTTTGGGGGCAGTCTGCTTGGCCCCAGGGGGGGCTTGGTCCTCATGCAGTTGGTGAAGGATTCTGCATGGACATGCAGGAAGAAGGTGTTGAGGATGACACCAGGCTAGGGGCAGGAGGGCAGCTGGGCCAGCAGCTGGGTGCAGCTGGAGAGCTTGCTGTAGGTGCTGCAGAGGGGCTGTGTGAGGCCCGTGGGCCAGGACTGGGACGTGGCAACTGTGGCAGCCCTGCTCCAAGCCAGCACTGCGGGGCTGACACCAACCTACCTGCTCAGTGGCAGCAGCTGCTCTCAGGGGTGGCCATGAGGGCAGCATGGAAGGGGGCCCAGCAGTAGAGTGTGATCCAGTCCTAGTAGGTGTCCTGGCAGAGGGCTGGCCCCTCTAGCACCACTGGTGGTCCTGCAGAGCACCAGCCAGATCCTAGGATGCCACCCCCGCAGCTCCCACCTCCAAGCCCAGTTTTGAGGGGATGTTTGAGGTCACCCCTCAATGGGGAGGACAGCCAGCATTGCAGGAAGGCAGCTCTACTCACCATCCTTCTCCAAGTACAGATAGTGACCTGGAAGGACAGACAGTGCCATTGGTGCTGGCAGGATCCTTGGGATGTTTGAGGGCAGGGCCCCATTCCTCAGGGGTGCAGACATCACCTCTGCCAGCAGCAGAGCCCCCAGCAGCCAGGGCCAGAGCCATGGTGGGACAATGGCACTGGGAGTCTTACCTTCATCCTTGAGGTCCCCATAGTTGGTGTCCCCATGCCTTGCAGCAAGGGGACACGGTTGTTAGGGACACACAGCCAGGGACAGCCTCAGCACGCAGGCAGCTTCTGGGCATGAGCTGAGTGGTCCCAACTCACCAGAGACCCCTCCTCTCAGGCTGAGCTGTCCACAGCAGAAAGGACTGGGCCAAGAGGAGGGGAGCAGGAGGCTCCTGGCTCTGCCTCAGTCCCTGCCACCAGAGCAGGGCAGTTTCTGAGCTAACCTCAGTCCTGTGAGAGGGGAAGCAGACAGCAAACCTTTCCCAGAGCGTCCTCCAAGGGGGACCAAGAGGGCTCCCAACACGGGCACAATGGGACAGAGAAGTGAAATGGGACAGGGACCCCGTGCAAACTTGCTACTTGGCCAGACCCTGTGCCCGACCCCCCGGGCGCCTCCGTGCACCCCCGGCCCCACGCCAGCAGCTGCGGGCCCGGGCTGCCCTTACACCGCTGGAGCAGAGAAAGGCACAGGCAGCAGAGCAGGAAGCCGAGAAGCCGCACCCCAAGGAGCATCATGGCCCCGTGGGCACCGCTGCAGCACGGTGGGCACCGCTGCAGCCCGGCTGAGGCTCCGCTCGGCGCTTTATCCCAGATCCCGTCCCAGAGCTGCCCGCCCGCTCCAGAGCCCGGGCAGGTCGGGGGGACGCCTGGCTGACTCAGCGAATTGTTTAAAAATGTTATGAGACCCATACAAATCCTTGAAATTTATATATGGGTTTGGAGAAGTGGAATTGCAAAACTTGTGAGAAGGATATTCATAAAATCCTTTCAAGCACTGAAAAATTATAAGGCTAAGTAGGAGTCAGAACTTTAGGACTGGCTGCAGCTTCATCAGCTATTCATGAATTTGAGCTGATCATTGACAAAAAAGATGATGTATTCATAGTGCAGTGTATGTATTGTCTCCTAACCATTTATATATGTATTCTGAAATGCATTAGTGGCATATTCCTACAGGATATTGGCAGTGCTTTAGAAATCACAGATACTAGAAACAAACTGATCTGTCATCTTGTCAGTGTGTCCTTCCTCAATTACCTCTCAGCACAGGATTTTTCCTTTAATGTTCTCCAGCTTATTGCTGGTTTTGACAAGCTCAAAAAAGGAATTTCTGTCACTTTTCTCCAAATAATATTTCTGAGTATCATTATGAGTTTTGTTGATACCTCATCTAAATCTACATTATCTTAAATGCATCTGATGTTGCAGAATTTTACACTTCCAGTACCATCCTGATGTTGCAGTCTTATGGTGTGTTTGCCTACACCTACAACTTTTGCTGATTTTTATAGGCCTTTTTATCATGTGTTCAGTATTTACTATTTTAAAATCACAAGTAGCACTTCCCACACTTAGGAACTGTGAACGTTTTGCCGCAGCTTTCATTTAGGTTACATCCAGATATAAATTAAAAATTATAAACCACGTATCTGCTTTCCTATCTGCTACAGTGGATTGAAAATGAAGAGCTGTGTAAAGGTGTTCTCTGAGACAGAACTAAATTATACCACAAAAAATCCTGCATATATTATTTAAAATTTGATTTATAATTTGGAGGGGATTATTGCTCATTTCTGTGAGAGGAAGAAAATAGATTTATTTTTTCATACCCTAAATCTTTCCTCTTATCATCAGTGTTTGCATCCACAAGGAATCACCTGGTGATAAGAAGTACTGCTTTTCAACAAATTCTCCTGGCTGGGTTCACAAAGACTTTAGCACTCAGTGTATTGAGGTAACACAAATTTGTCATTTCTGGCCTAACCCACGGCTGAATCCACAGAGAACAAAAACATTAGTTTGATTTAGCTGTCTTAAAAATACCATCTCATGTAAATACAGTGTTTCTAGTTGAAAGATTGCAATACATAGTTATTAATGCCTATGGAAATTTTAGGAAAATTTATATTTGAAAAAAAATTGCTAATGCTTTTTTGTTTGTTGTAATTTGGCTCTTCCGTCCTGCTCATGTCTCTGATGCGATTATAATCCACGGGGATTGGTTTTCTAATAGCACTTGTTTACAGGACTATGAGAACTCCATCATTTGATGTTTATTCTTTCTGTATTCTTACAGAAAAATGGAAATTGCCACCCCTCCCACGTCAAAATGTATCATGTACTGGAAAAGAAAAGTCAAGTCTGAGTATATGCGTCTGCGGCAGCTCAAGAGGTTCCAGGCGAACATGGGGGCCAAGGTACAGATGTGAGGACAGTTGCTCCACCCAGAGGATGCCTCCTAAAGACGTGGCTTACCTTGGAGCGTTTGAGATCCTGCCAGTTGCAGAGCTGTATTTTAGTTGTGAGTTGGATGAGGTGACATTTCCCGTGCTCTGCGGAGCCGGGAGCAGCCGCTGGAGGCAGCCAAGGGACTCGTCCCACCTGTTCTTACAAGTGTCTCCTCACTTGAACCCTGGTGGGTTTCAGGTGGCTGGTGCTGATGCTACTCTCCCTGGCAGGCAGGTTTTTGGAAGAGGTCAGAGGAATCAGTAGCAATGGGAAGCTTCTGGCTGTTGGGTGGATTTTCAGAACAGTTTTGTTCCAATGCTGAGTTTAATTAGAATTTCTCCTAATGAGTGTCATCAGTTTGAAGTGCTCTGCCTTGCATACATTTTGACACTTGAAACAGAATCTCAGGAGGGTTCTAAATGTTCCCAACAAGATTTCTTAGATTTTGAGCGCTGCTTTCTCTGATTTCAGGCTCTGTTTGTGGCCAACTTTGCAAAGGTTCATGAAAAGACTCAGATTCTGAATGAAGACTGGAAGAAGCTTCGGGTCCAGTCAGTGCAGCTGATGAAGCCGGTCAGCGGGCATCCGTTCCTGAAGCAGGTGTGGAAGGGTAAAGGGGCAAGGTGCAGCAAGGGTGGACAAGAGCAGGGAGCTGTGAGGACACGGGGTTGTTTTGTGTGTGTGTCAGGCTGTCAGTGTCAGTGCCAGGCTGTGCCTCACACTCCTCTGGGGTGCAGAAATAGAAAAAAACCCACAAACCGAGATGGTTTTACTGTGAAGTCCCAGAGAGTGAGTGCAGGGCTGCGCTGTCTTGTCCTGAGGGTGGTTTCCTTTTGGCTCTTCCCTCAGAAGCAGTTTCCTCACTGCCTTTCTCTGTGCTTTGTTCCAGTGCACTGTTGAGAGCATTTTCCCAGGGTTTCCAAGCCAGTCACTGTACATGAGGACCCTGAACACGGTGGCACTGGTGCCCATTATGTACTCGTGGTCCCCTCTTCAGCAAAATTTCATGGTACGTAGGAAGGCTCTGAGGTGCAGATGTGACACCAGGGACCTAGTGCAAAGCAGAGCTGGTGGTGCCGTGGCAGTGAGGGTCCAGGTCCTCACTCCTGTGGGTGGCTCCTCAGCTTTGGCTGCATTCCTCTGGGTTTGGCTTTCTCTGTTCCAGCTCTGCTCTGCCTCAAACACAACCTCTCTGATGTTTTGGGCTGTTTGTTATTCTTGGCGTTGTGTGTGTTTCTGAGTTTCTGCAAGCCTTGGGGGCACAGGTCTTCATTTTTAAAGCAATTTGCACTTTTAGGGGTCAGAGTTATGCTGCTGGCATGGGATAACAGTGAAATGTCAGCGATGAGAAATCTGAAACTGTAGCCAGGGAGAATCTTTGCTTTGCTGCCTGCAGGTGTGAATGGGCAGGAGCAGTCTGGGACACGGCCCAGCTGGGAATGGGCAGGTGCTGGTCCTCTGAGTTGTGTCTCATCTCTTCTCAGGTGGAGGATGAAACTGTTCTGTGCAATATCCCTTACATGGGAGATGAGGTGAAGGAAGAGGATGAAACTTTCATTGAAGAACTTATTAATAACTATGATGGGAAGGTTCATGGAGAGGAAGGTAACCTAGGAGCAGTCAGCACTGTCTGTGCAGTCTCTAGCAATTAACACACCACAGTGGTTACAAAGCCAAAAGGTGGCAGTGGGAACCAGCTTTTCTGAAGAGCTCTTAGAGCAGAAAACCAGGAACATGCGAGCTGCTCTGGTGTGCAGAGACACAGTCCTGCCTTCTGATGCCCTGCTCTGTCCAAGGCCTGGGGTGCTCTGGAGCCAACACTCTTGTGCTTGGGGGTTCACAGCAGTGTTCTGGGGTGCTGAAAAATGTGCTAGAGGTTTGGAGGAGCTCAGCAACCTGCTTTTGCTCATGACCTCAGCCAAGACTTTTAATTTTTTCCAAAATTAAAAGCCAGTGTGTTTCACTGCAGTGCTGTCTACCCCATTATAACATTGCCTGGAGGGGTGAGGACAGTGGAAAACTGGGATGGCCTGAGGTCAGATTGCTAAAAATGAGACCTTGTTCGTATGGCTCTAGTGTTAAATTCCCCTGTCCGTACAACACATTGAGGCAGGTTCTAATTGCTGGTGATGTCATGTGGCTTTCATGGAGTGTGAAAGGTGATGATGCTCCCACAAGCTGGCTGACATCTCTCTGTTCCAGAAATGATCTCTGGGTCAGTCCTCATCAGTGATGCTGTGTTCCTGGAGCTCGTCAATGCCCTGAATCAGTACTCGGATGAGGAGGAGGAAGGACACAATGATTCTGAGGCTAAACCAGAGGATGGGAAAGAGGAGCTGCCAGTCACAAGGAAAAGAAAGCGAATTGCAGCAGAAGGTGGGTTTGGCCACAGAAACTGGGGCTGTGTTGGGCACGTTTTCCTTGTGCCCTGCCCGAGCCAGCACTGCTGCCAGAGCTGGTGCTTATCCGTGTGTTGCTGAGGGCAAGGACCAGCTTGGCAAGGCCTGGGATGAGGAAAGCAGAAGGGAAATCAGTGGTTCTCAGTGTCCCATGTGGAGAGGATGAGAAATCACCAGTTTAAAGTGTGGTGAGGAAGAATTCAGATAAGTCCTGTGGGGAACCATCTCCCAGTGAGATCAGCAGAGCAGTGGGGTGTTATCTGTGGGATCGCTGCTCATGGAGGTTTTGAAGTGCTGGTCTGACAAGTGTCTGTCAGCGAGTTTGTAGGTAGATCTGTTTGTGCTGTAGGCCAGGGAGTGGGACCTTGGCAAATCCCTTCCAGACCTGTTTTCCATGTATTAGTGGGTCCTCTTTCCTTACCTGGAGCTCTTGTTGCACAGAGGAAGCTCTGCAGTATGGGATTTTTATGTGTCCTGTGTGACCTTAGGAATGCTGACTGGGAGTTTCATCTTTGCCTTTGATTTCTAGCAATGTGGTAGCAGAGATACCAGGACCTGTTGTGGATGCAGAAAAGCATTGTCTGCAGATTCTGTCTTGGTAAAAACAAATAGTAATAGCCCTTAAGAAATCATGAGCACTTCCATCTATATGTTCTGCCACTCAGAAAGCTGCTGAGCTATGTTGGGAAATGCCTTTGCCTGATTGCAGGACAAAGGTTTATCCATTATACATGGGATTACATTTCTGTCTCTTAAAATACAATTGTGAACACCAGCTGGAATTGCTCTCTGTGGAAGATGGAAAGACATGTTCACATCCAGCTGAACTGTGGCTTTGTCTCTTCTTTTTCGAAGGTAACAAGAAGTGTTCGAAGAAGCGGTTTCCAA